TCTAAAGATAAAAAAAAAAATTAAAATAGATATACTGGTATTGGGTAAGTAATTACGACAACTACTGCATTTGTTAATAATATTAGGATTAATACTACTTTTTAATGCTAAATTATATTCATTTAAAATAGAATTAATTCTGAGTTCATGCAATATATCTGGGAAAGCTATTCAAGAGTCGAAACATCAATAAATAGATAACATGAAGGCACAGGCCTTGGTCTATCAATAAGCAAACAATTAGTAGAAATTAATAATGGTGAAATTGGTGCAGAAAGTAAATTAGGAGAAGGAAGTAAATTTTGGTTTACGTGGAATATTGAATCATTACCAATTCCAAGTATAGCAAAAATTTTAAAATGTGTTGATTCAACACAAATATCATTAGATGAAACAATCAATCATATTTTACCATCTCATATCAAATTAAAACGCATATTATTAATTCACCCATTTGAAAGTGCGAGGATTGCAATAACGAATTTTCTTAAAAACTTTGAAAGCGTTGGTGTATTTGATACCTGTGATAAAGGAATTCAAGCAGCGAAATATCATAAAGAATTATATAATCAAGCTGCTTATGATATAGCATTCATCAATCTTTATGAAAATGATGCAGAAGAAATTACAAATGCTGCACTGGAGCTAAGAAAAATAAATGACGATAATTTATTTATTGTTTTTATGGTATATGCACGTATAAGTGAAAAGATTTTAGCAAAAAAATTAATTGATACAATTGGAGGACAATCTACAAGAATATTTAAGCCAATTACATATAAAAAATTAATAACTCAATGTTTGCGTCATAATAATTTGGAAAAAGGTTTTGATAATCCTATCAGCTATAACGTTAAAAATATCATCGTTAATAACTTAGAGAAAGAGAAATTTAAATTTGATTTTGAATCAGCTTTAAAGATTAATCTGGCATCATCAGTAATATCACCATTAAATATTAGTAAAAAGAGAATGGCAAGTTATGAAGTCGGGGATATAATAAGAACTTCAAAGAGTAGATCAAGAACTATTTCTAATAAAAAATATATCTTATGTGTGGTAAGTTATTTGCTTTTAACACTTGACATCTGCTATTAAATAATTTGAAATACTTATTATTTTTTAGGATAAAAATCCTGTAGACCTCGAGGTAATTATATTTAATTTTTTTTTTTTAAATATTTGAATTAGTATATCTATTTTAATTTTTTTTTTTATCTTTAGATTACACAGAAAAAGCTTGAAGAACTTGGTTATTCAACGTTATCAGCAACAAGTGGTCAAGAAGCAATTGACTTTCTTCTGTCAAAATTTGAGTCATTTAGTATCAATAATTCGGATTCTTATGTTTCAGAAGAGAATAGATTGAAATCTTTTGAAATTTTAATGATTTTAATGGATTGTACAATGGTATGTTTTATTTATCAGTATATATATATTTTTTTATCTAAAACTGATTTCTAATTTAATTTATTTCACACAACAATTAGACCGAGATGTCGGGTTTTGATACTTCACAAGCAATTAGATTAATGAATTCACAAATTTCAAACATTCCAATTGTTGCTTTGACAGCTATTGCAACTGAGGAAATGTTTAATAAGTGCAAAGAATCAGGAATGAACTATTGTCTTACGAAACCATTAAAAACCAATCAATTTAATGAAATTATTAAACAATTGTTTAAATAACATTATATAAGGTTATTTATAAATTTTTAATTACTATGTGATAAAAATGCCAAGGTTTTGAGATTTCTAATTATGCATACGTTACTGAATTATGTTTTAGTTTAAATTGGCTAATTAAGCGTATAAAATATAATTGAAGAATTATGATCTATAGTAAGCTATCATTTTATTTCTAGCAATAATAACATTTTAAAAAAAATAAAGAAATTCTTTATAGGGTATACGTATCAGTGAAAAAAATTCAGATTTACATTATGTGTACTTTGCGCACTAATTTTTAAAATTGAAGTACGCTTTGTGCACTAAATTTTGAAATAAATGTGTGCTTAACACAAAGAATCCTAACATTAATGTGTATATACTGTGAATTATTCTGTTACAAAACTTACTTGCTATTTTGGTGAACACAATATGTGGTTAAGGCAAGTTAGCTTGTATTGGAATTAGTATGATTTATATCATGAGTTACCACAGTGTGTGGTTAAGGTGAGTTTGTTTATATTGAAATTATCATAATTTCTATCACAAGTATTATCACAAAATTCTGTTGCAGAGCTTACTATTTCAGTAAAATTCTGTCGCAAGCTCTATAATTCTTTTAACACACAGCATGCAGTTCATAATGCATGTTATTAGCGTTATCTAAATCTCAATAATATTATAAATATGTAGAATGCATAACCACAAATGTTGTTTTTATAATCATAAATAGATAATTGAGATTCGATATTATCAGGTAGAAGACTGTGAATATTAGTTAAAACGTAATTTTGGACGCTTCTGTACCTTCGATTCATATTGTCCTATATTTCCACATCATACATTATATTTTTACTATAAAGCTTGGCATATATTTAGTAAACACTATAAAATCTTCTTGAGAATGCATCATAAACAGCCATAATCAGGAATGATCTAAGAATAATATTCATTATGTATGTACTGTACGTATCAAAGTAAAGTTTACATGGCAGTGCATACATTTAATTATGGAAGCAGAAGTCATTGAACTTAAAAAACTTATAAATACAATCTGAATTCGATAAAAATTTTATGGAACGTATTATAGCGCTTTGCAAAAAGATGTGCCCCATGATTTTTGTGATGATGAAAGAGGAAAATTTCCGAGATTCTAGATTGTCTATTAATTCATTGAATCGATAAGATTCTTAAATCTACAAAATCTCCGATTTTCACGCGAAATTGTGATCTGCAGAGGCCACATCTTTTTGCAAAGCGCAATAATATGAATACGTCTAGCTACCGCAACAAAATCGGACTGGCAGATTCTCGATTTTGATTGGCTAAGAGCGATGATCAAAAAATTAGGCCGGAATTACTCATAATTTTACTAATGAAATTATAGCGCCTATTAAGAAAATTGTTCTCGGGCCAATTTTACATATAATACAGACTTATTTTTTAAAAATTTCTATTCTTGTAAAGAAAAAATCAAAATGTTAATTCCGGCCGGAATTGTAAACAATTATCGTTATGTAATGCGAGCCAAAATTTTAAAGATCCTCGGCCGTTAGCCGGATAGAGCATGCTGCGTGCGCAGTTCAAGTAGTGCCATAAATTTTTTTCATGAAATCTTTTCTGTTTTGGTCATAAGGCATATGGCTGGTCACGAGCAAACCATGAGACCAATGAGTAGTTAGCACGTGCTCAATTACTAATTTCAAAGGCAATTATCGAAAGCAGATCGCCGAAAAAGATTGGTGTTAAATAAGTACTGTACTAAACCTAAAACCACAAAAGTTTGTTTTTGATGCATATACGCAATTTTTTTTTTATCAAAAATCTTCTTTAAGATTAAAGCAATAATATATTTATTCATATAGATAGGGATACTTGTGGAACAAATAATGTTGGATGCGTTTAAATGGTAAAAATGTCTGAAATAAATTTAATTAACAAAAAGACATTTAAAGATCAAATGTTCTTATTATTAAAATAAATAATTATAGTTATATCATCGTTTTCAAATAACAACAAAATTTTTTATTGAATTCTACATTTCATCACCATTTTCCCATATATGCAGATTTTTGACAATGAAATAGATAAATTCATGTTAATCCTTTTCAACTTTAATAATATTAAACGACAACAATTTTTTATTTGGACTATATGCTCAATCAGCATTTCCTATCTCTGCAGATTTTTGAAAATGAATAAATTCCTTATGCTCATCCTTTTCAACTCCAATTCTTTCGTTATAGCAATATCCAATATTAAATATTCTACTGGTATCACCATCTCTGCTGATTTTGATAATAAACGAATGCTTTATGCTTATTCTTTTCAACTCAAATTACATTAAAATAGCAGTTTCTTACCTGAACTATAGTTTACATCAGCGTTCCCCCAACTCTGCGAGTTCTTAAAAATAAAATTCCTTACATTCATCCTTTTTGCTCCAACTCCGTCTATAATACCCAACATTAAATATTTCACTGACATCATTTATCTCTGTTTATTCTTGATAATAGACGAACGAATTATATTTATTCTTTTAAACTCAAATTTTATTAAAGCTACAGCAATTTCTTACCTGGATTATATTTTCTATCAGTGTTCCACATCTCTGCAGATTTTGAAAATAAGAAATGAGTGAGCTCCTTATGTACATTCTTTTTAACTCCAATTCCTTTGTCACAACAACATCCAACTTTAAATGCTCCTTGGAATCACCAATCTCAGCTGATTTTGTTAATTGATAAATACTTAATATTCATACTTTTCAACTTAAACTCCATTAAACAACAACTTCTTACCTTGATTATATTTTCATTTGCGTCGACCATTTTTGCAGATTTTTGCGAATGAATAAATGCTTTATGCACATCCTTTTCAACTTCAATTCTTTGTCATGGTAATATCAACATTAAATATTCCACTAGAGATACACATCTCTGCTAATTTTTGATAATAGATGAAATGCTTATATTCATCTCTAATTCCACAAAATTAATAGCAATTTCTTACCTAGATTATATATTTTATCAGCATTCCCATCTTTAATTTCATTATGACAATATTTGACAGTAAATGTCCTAATGATATTATCCATCTCTGCTGATTTTGATAATAGTTAAATCTTTATGTTCATCTTTTTCAACTCTAATTCCATCAAAACAACAGTTTTTTAATCTGTATTATATACTTTATCAATGTTCCCATCTTAGTGAATTTTTGAAAATATTAGTTGATCTTTCTCAACTCTAATTTCTTTTTGACATAACAATACCCAATATTATATATTCCTATTAAGATTCAAAGAAGTTAGTGAAAAGTTTATCTTTTAATGCTTTTCATACTTTTGATCTTAGATTATTCACCCATATAGACTCCAGACTGACAATTCCAAGAACAAAAAGATGCAAAAAACACTAATGAGAGTCAACAAGACTCAAGAAATAAAGAATATAAAACTATGCTAATAAAGTCCACTCAGAAAAGACTTCAGAACCAATGATTCCAAGGATCAAAGGGTGCAATACATCGATGAAAAGCTCATTTAAAATCTAGCAAAAAAAAAAAAAAGTATTAATAAGTTACGTATAAAAAAAATAATAAATAATAAATGATTGGTAGATCAGAGGGATGGGTCCCCATAGCCTAGTGGTCTAGGTGCCCTCCCTCCACAGACAAGGTCAACGGTTCAATTCTTGCTAGAGCCAAAAACTTTGTAATCTACGGAAGCATATGAATGTACGCAAGCCCTGTGGCTAAGCCCATGTGAATAGAAGATCGGCATATAAAGAAGTTCCTGGAAAGAAGCCTCCCAATATGGAGAGTTGGCACTCGATGCGAGAGAAGCGGTAAACATACTAGAAATGGAGAGAAGGCGCACTAGCGAGTGATATGGTGAACATAAAAGGAAGTTGCAGGAAAGGAATGGACTTGCCAAAATTCGAACACCTCTAGCACGTACCGGTTTCAGTGGATATGGGTTACACTGAAGTTGGACAAAAATCTAAGAGGTAATCTTGGTACCTTACTTAGTAA